TATCTATCTATCTCTGTGTGTGTGTGTGTGTGTGTGTGTATGTGTATATATATAACAAGAATTGGCAAACACATCGTGAACACGCGCAAGCACGCTCGGATATCAGCCTGAATAAAATAGCCTCCTTTCAGACCTCCCTTCCCCAATGTAGCACCTTCCTGCACGTTTGAGTGTTTCTTCTCCACCACTTCCCTTCCCTTCCTCTACCCTGCCTCATCGTTCCGACTCCCAACTTGCTTCTCTTTCCCTCCAATTCCCTTTGCCACTTAGAGACAAGGATAAATCATCCCATCGAGATCCCTTGTCCCCTGGCAACGTCCTCGGCAAACACAGCTCAAGCCGAACAACGGCAGTTCGAATCCTCAATTGCCAATCCCGACATAGGCCAAGAGTCATATCACCCGGGCTCATACTACTGTCTCGAGCCATTGAGTCAACTCCAGCGGACGACAATTAGCCGACGTGATCCCCTCCCTACTCTCCCACCCTCCTCTCCAAGAGCACAAGCGTTAGGGAATGCCACCATCACTATACCTACCTAATAGTAATATCTGGAAATGAGAGCAAACCGACACTGACAAGGACCAATCAGACTAAGCTAGACATGGCCTGAACCTCGCAATAAGTAATAAGAAACATAACACTGCGATAAATTGAAGTAAATCTCTCGTCGAGTACTGATCCCCTCACATTGTATACCCTCACATTGTATACACAGCCACACATCGCCTGTCCATTCTGTACAGGGTGTTCGTGTCATTCAGAAAGAGAGTGGTCCCGTTCAATTGCACATTGATGAGATAGATGACCACAAGCTTGTTGAGGAAATCGTAAACGGGCCTGTTGAAAGTTCTCGATTGAATCAGCCTACCGCTGACATAAATTTGATTCCCGCAGGAAAAATTTACCCCAGCAGGGGAGAGGAACGCGCACGGGCCAGAATTCGCGTTCAGAACCTTCTGCTCAACCCTGCAAACAGAAACACCAACACAATTCCACAGGATCAGACATCAGCCTTTCCACCAACGACAGAGAAATATAGATAGACTGATCCTTTCCAAGCAGGGCAAAGAAAGGATCGGAGCAGAAGAGGGGCAAACAAGTGGGGCAGTTGGCAAGGCCAGAAGAATCCAATTTGGGCCAGAAGAACAAGACACAGGAGGGTAGACGGACCCTTCCAAATAGGGGCAAGAAGGATCGGAGCACCAGAGGGGCGAAAGGATCGTGAGAAAGGGTCCGAGCAGGGGGAAGTAGGATCCGAGCAGGGGGAAGTAGGATCCGAGCAGGGGGGAGAAGGATCCGAGCAGCTGGGGGAAGAAGGACAGGACCAGAAGGATCCGCGAAGGGTGGAAGAAAGATGAGAGCAGAGTGGAAAGAGAGATCGGAATGAGAGGGAGAAGGATATAAAAACAGGGGTAGACCTGAGCAGAGGAGGCAAGAATCCGAGCAGGTGAGGGACGCAAAGGGATCCCAGCAGGAGAGGTGGATCACAGAAGATAAGGGATAATAACAGAGCAGTGGGAACCGGCGGAGGAGGAACAATACCGGCAGGGGGGAGGGCCAGAGAGCAGGGGAAAGGGCCAGAGAGCAGGGGAAAGGGCCAGAGAGCAGGGGAAAGGGCCAGAGTTCAGGAAAAAGGGCCAGAGAGCAGGAAAAAAGGCCAGAGAGCAGGGGGAGAGGCCACAGAGCAGGAAGCAGTGTTCAAGCGAATTGAGGAGCCAAGGTCAGCACCGAAACAAGACTTACCCCTGAACAACCATGCTGGTGAGCGGCACTCCGTACGCCTGGTCATTTCCTGTTGCGTTGAGAACAATAACTGGTATATCTCCATAGCCTAGCCCCTCCATAAAAAAGTCGCAAAGGTCCACAGGTTTCAAGCGCTGCCCCTCCTGACCTTGAGCGCTTGTAGCCGACTGGTAAAGGACAAGAGCAACCAAAACTGCAACAGCGCACATAGCGCGGTCTGCTGTCGAGAAACTTTTCCGCGACACCGCCATTGCACCACCGCTCTGTTTACTGACAGCCGCGGATGACGACAACACAAGCACACCGGAGAATTGCTGACCCCGCAACTCTCTCCGAGGCAACTGCTTCGTTGTCCCGATGCGGAAGCAGCGCGCTACCCTCACCACGTGTTAGTCACTAGCAACAGTTCAAAAGAACGCGGGAAAAAAAACGCGGGAACGGAGTTATACTCGCAACGTGTGACACACAAGCGCCCCCCTGGACGTCACGAGGAAGCAGTTTCCGATTCCACCAACCACAGAAAGACGTGCGAGCTGAGAACGATGACTCCACCATTCACTTCATCCACAAGAGGTCGTAAACTGCGCAGCGGCTAAAGCTGCTGCCCACGACAGAACAACCACAATGAGAACAAATGAGAAAACAAATCGACCAAAGAAAAGTGTAAGTACACACCGCACCAGAGAGTACAGCAGAGCGCGTAAATCACAACATGCACACAGACTGCACAGCAGTGCGGGCACACCACGTCATAGCACATAACTCAACACAGCTGTCGGCAGACAGAACACAGCACAAAACAAAGGATACCAGACACGCCAGTCAAAGACAGTTCCACGAGAATAGTGATAAACACAGAACAATAGCACGTAGCAGTTTCTACAGGATACTCATTGATACATTAATAGCAGTCGTTGATCTGAAGTACATGTATATGAACACAAATAAACTTGACGACCATGTTTTTCTTTTCTCCTTATTGCTTTTTGTGATTTTCTTTTTTCGTTCATCGCCCGCCTCCGCCATCACCATCGCCTCCCCAGCCTCCAGCGTTCAGCGTCCTTCTCATCGTGGTGTGCTTTCTTTTAAGCCATTTTCGTCTTGTCGGACTCATCATCACGTCCCAACACCATCATGCTCCTTCGCCACCATGACGACCCTCAGACGTCGCCTCTATCAGAAGTTCTCTTTTTTTTCAGTCCTGTTTTTCTTTGGAAGCCTTCACCTGCCTCCGCCAATAGCCTCTTCCTCGGCCTCCTCCTCCCCCTCCTCTTCCTCCCTCGCCGATTTATATTGGTATCGGTGTTTTCCTTTTCTCGCCTCCCCGACGGACTGACCCTCCTCCGTCGCCATAGCCCTCCTCGTCCTACACAACCATCACCCTCCTGCGCCGTCAAACTCCACCTCTCTCTCTCTCTCTCTCTCTCTCTCTCTCTCTCTCTCTCTCTCTCTCTCTCTCTCTCTCTCTCTCTC